TCATTTCAAACATTTTTCTGTAATTTTACTACATTAAATTTTTTAGATTTGTAAACTGAAAAAAAATAACTAGGAAAACAAACAATTTTTTTCTTCTATTTACAAATATATATATATATAATTTTTTTTAATTAATTTATTTATTTATTTTTAACATTATATAATATATCATTATAATAAATAATTGTTGATATATTTAAGATTTTGTAATCAAGAATCAATCTTACCGTGACAGTCTCAATTTTTATTTTCCGACTCCAAAGAATCTTGCCGCCATTAACTCTTCCATACATTCGACATTCAAATTCTCTATTATAAATTTCATGTTTTCCGTATCTTTTATATTCATCCAATTTTCATATACATATTTTAGCCCTCCTTCCTTTAAATCGTTGTTATTAAATCGCCAGCCCATTAGCAAAATTTCATGCCAAATTTCATTCGAAATCATTTTTACAATCCTATTTGCAACGATTCTAACCAAATCTTCAATTTGACACATATTGGCCTCGTTAAACAGACCCTTTAGTACATCAAAATCTAAATCAGAACCAAGCGAACCGTTATAAAAATAATAAATCAATTCCCTATAATATTCATATTTTGAACCTTTAATGACAATCCTTGATTGATTTGATTCTAACCATGCACCTGAGAACATATTCATGAAATAAGTTGATTTAGCTGCAAGGACAAGACGAGACGCGCTCAATTCTGATCCACAATCAAATGTAAATATAACATCGCTGAAATGTGGATTATTAAAAAATTGTTCCAATGAAGGCGAAAGTAATAAAGGTGGAATTGTGTTGTTGTCATTGAAGTCATTTAGTTGTACTCGTTCAGGTTCAATTATGTGAGCACGAATAATAATATCTGTTCTTATAGATGTATTATTATTTGGAAGTAACTGATCGATCTTACATAGTTTTCCTCCATGTGCGTTTTTAATTCCAAATCTTGTTTTATGAATAAATGAAATTTTATTCAACGTTCCTAATTCTTCAACCAGATTCTTGTTTCCATATTGATTCTTAAATACTTTGAACTCAAAAACTGAAATTCTATCGTTTGCGTTCTTTTTCCTTTCAAAATCTGTTTGCAATGCTACAATATACAACGATATATCCTCTCTAATATTTTCAATATCAACAATAAGTCTCCAAGTATATTCTAGGTTTGTTTCATTACTTGAATTAATTGAAAACGGTGAATTAAAAGGTTCACTTATTATAAAACGCAACAAATTTTGTTTATCATAGAAATGTTGAAAATCCTTTATCACCCAAGTATGGACAAAAGGTAAGTTTTCTTTTGTAGACATTGAAAAAATTTTTTTTTTTTTCGAATCCAAACTTTAAATAGTTACTTTCTTGTTGAATTCAACGCCAAACCTGATTAATAAAAGATTTAACGAACTTTTCATGTGTCAAGCTATTAATAGCAATTAGATCGAAAATGTCTATCCTTTTTAATCGGGCCATACCATTGTGTTTCCTGCTTTGTATAAAACTGATTGCAGATCAAATTGTAATCTTGTTCTCACGAAACTTTTACATTTATCCAAAGGGGACTTTACCCTTATGAAAAAAATGAACCAGATTTATATCATTAGGTATACTGATTGTAAACAATTATCCAATTATTTACATAACACGTAATTCGATTTAATTTAGCCCTCTGTTATATAAAAGAAGGTGTTTCTCTTTTAAAAATTCGTCAAAACGACGACAAAAAAATTTTTTAATAAAATTTTTTTTTCAGAAATGGATAATTTAAGGCGTAGACATATTACTTCTTTCCAAAATGGAGTCTTGGAACCAATTGTATTCGACGATAAACGAAAATCTATGAAATCGATTCTTTTATCCTCTATTAAAGTAACGAATTGTATTTTAATAAATAATATTTTTATTTTTTATTATTTATTTCTGATTGTTATAAGGCGCTTAATTCCTTTTATTCAATGTAGTTACAAAAGACAATAGCGCCGGTTCTATCTACGATTCGAAACTTTTACAATAAATATTACAATACCATTCATCCTCTATGCTTCACTTTCTTATCTTTTTTGACGAGATTTTATTTAATATCATTGTCAGATGTCGTAATGTGGGATGAGGTAAATCGATTTTTAATATTATTACCTTAATTAATGAAATATCGTAAATTCTAACCTCATTATAAAATTTATTGATCAAAGTCACATTTTGGCAAAGTAAGTACAAACTATGATGTTGATCATGTTTTATTGTATATTTTTTTTTGACTTCATTTTTTGAAAATTTCTATTTAGTTTGCATCGCATTATCTTAATCGAGAATTTTACTTTGATGTACATCCACCTCTTGGTAAAATGATAGTCGCATTAGCAGGATGGCTTGCTGGGTATGATGGATCATTTGATTT